TTTTTTTTTGCCCCCTTTTTAAATGTCTTAGATATTCTTTTTGGTAGTTCCACTGCATGTGCAGTTGTGTTGATGGCTCATAGATTGCCTAAATCTTTTTGTCAATCTGTCTGTCTGCTTGAATTGCAGTTAGGTATTTCAACCTTATATTCATCTCTGTCGAGATGAACCTTGTGTCCATTCCTGCAGCCCCAGAGCTCTGTTGGGCCTGCTAAGCTATCTGTTAGGTTTGACCAGGTGCTGGTAGACCAGAAATCTGATAATGTGTTTGCAGCTTGTGCTACTTCTCACTGTGAGGACAGACCTGCTGTCTGGGAGACATGCTGCGAGGGGTGACCTTGCATGGCGACCTCAGGCCTGGCGTGGTGCAGGAAAGCACTTGCATTTTCTTGTAAGCCAACAGATTTGGGGATTAAAAGTCCAAACCAGCCCAGACTTTCCCTTTTGCTCTGGCAGGGAGTGGGGACCTGCAAGTAGAACTATTATAAGAGAAAATGATAAATATATTCATCTCTTTACTTGAATCCCATGGACTTTTTTTTTTTTTTTTTAAAGAGCACAAAAGGAGGATAAGGTCACCTCCTCGATTGTGGCTGCACATCTGCGAAATAGCCTATTACATATGATGGGTCTTTTAAATTATTTTTTCGAATTCATTCAAATCAATAGTAATACAATTTCCTGCCATGAATATCAAATCTCAGTGTGTGTGCACATGTTTTTAAAGTAGCTGCCCTTATCACTTAGCAAGGAAAATACATAACCAAGGCCCAAGTCTCAGCATGGGCCAGATCTTCGTATTTCAGTAGGAAGCCTGTGCCTGTGAAAGGCGGAGAAATAGTTATAATGACCTCTTACGTTTTAACAGCTTTTTGTCTCATTGTGCATAAAATTTTTCAGCATACCTTCTGAGGTATGGATTAGTTTTTCTTCTTCTCTGATGGATGAAATAGCTTCTGAGAAGTCAGCTGACACGCCCAAGGTCACAGAGCAGGAGAGAATGTGGCAAGGCCAAGGGCAGAAGCCAGCCCTCCGAATTCTAAGTAGGCCAATTTTCTTGGCCCAGTTCTTTGCTTCTTTGGTTATTGATTTTTAGAGCAAACGAGCGTAGAGGACCAATCTGAGTTAGTAAGTGGTAGGCTAGTTGAAGTTTCCAGTATTTTCTAGCACAAAGAAACACAGATGCTACAGAGCTAGGTGGGAGTTTGCTTTTTGAATAATGATGATGGTGATATTCATGACATTTATTGAGCACTACGCGCTAGGCTTTCTATCCATTAGTTCCTCATTCCAGCCCATCCAGAGAGATGCTCTGATTTCCCCTCTTTCACTGATGAAGAGATCTGTTCAGCAAGGTAGAGTGACATGCTCAGGGTCCATCACAGGGTGGCTGATGAAATTTCCACTTGGCTTTTTGATTTTCAGGCCTGTTCTTAATCACTAACTCTATCTACATAAATAGCCTGCTGCAGCCACACCGTACTTTATTACGTTCAGACTGGACACAAGTGTGTATCGTGAAAGCCCTTTGATGCCACGTGTCAGGAAGCATTTTCCATAGAATTCCAATGGCCAGACCAGTGAGCAGAACTTTAGAGACCAATGTGTTAATAAGAACAGGTGTGAATCCAGTTTTTAAAATTCTTTTTTAAATTCCTTTTGACTGTTTAATTTTTTTCATTGCAGTAAAATACACATAATGCAAAATTTACCACCTTAACCATTTTTAGGTGTCTGATTAAGTGGCAAAAGTACATTCGTCTTGTGTAGCCATCACCACTGTCCATCTCCAGAACTTTCCCATCTTCCCAAACTGAAACTCCAAACCCATTAAACACCAACTCCCACTCCCTCTCCCTCTCCCCCTCCCCCAGCCCCTGGAAACCACTGTGTTTTCTGTCTATGAATTTACTGCTCTAGGTGCCTCATATTAGTGGCATCATACCATATTTGTGGTTTTGAGATAAATCCAGTTTTTATAAGCAGATTCTTAATATAGTAGGAGCACTTGTCTAAGCAAGCCAGCAGGTACCTGGTATGAACTGCAGAGTCATGCCATCCTAGGGGTATTCCGTTCCCGCCCTCCCCCACTCACTAGTGATTTTATTCAAGTGTGTTTCCTTGACTTCATGCATTTTACAGGCTCACAGACCTTGGAAACTGGTAACAGTGTGTGCATGTGCGATTGGTTGGGCTAAATCAATGCTAAATTCTCTAGCAGTTTGGGGCTCCATATTTTTGTGTGTGCATATTATTATCACCTATCAGCAGTTAGGCCCCACAGTGTCAATTGCAGAGCTGGATTTATGTGAAATAGCCTAAGGCCAGACCAGACCAGGCATCTTCCAAGAGCCCCAGACAAGGGCCTGGTGAGCATCACTGCTGGCCCAGGGGTGTGCGAACTGCTTGGCTTCCCCATGTGCATTAGCTACCTCTCGGTGGCCTCACTCTACTTCCCTGCCTTTTCCAGGAGATGGCCCAGCAGCTGCTGGCAGTGTTTGGCGGCTACTATATCCGGCTCCTGGTGACCTCCCAGCTCCCCCAGGCAGCGGGGACACGACACATAGACTCTCCAAGGGTTCCGTGCCCCTGCCAACTCATAGAAGCCCACATCCTGGGCACAGGGTGCTGCCCATTCCTGGCCAGGTGACCTAGGGATGAAGGTATTCATCTTCCTCCAAGACTGAAGTTGAGAAGTTAGGGAGGCCTCAGGAACCCAAGGTGGCTGATGGCAAGCCCTAGGCGAGGAGAGAAGCATCTGGGGCACTCTGAGGGTATCAGTCACGTCAGTAGCTGGATGTCGTGCTCACTCCAGGACCCTGCACAAAAATGGCTGTTGACATTCCATGATGACCCCAGGCCTTTTCAGAAGCTGCGATGGTTGCCGAGCTGGTCCCAGCTACAAGCTACTCTCCATGCTGCTTGGAACTGTGGGCCTGGATGGAAGGATCACTCTGCCATCTGGTTCATTGTCTGGCAGCCCAGCAAATGTGAAGATGACCAGACTGGGCCAGACGTGTCCAAAGTTTGACCTCAGATGATGTTCCCATCTGAAACCCCTCGTGTCAGTTGGGGAAACGGAGGCTCTGGGAGGATGATGCTCCATGTGGCATTGCCTTGGGTCTCTACAAAGACAAGACCGCCTCTTCCCAAGCTGAAAAAAAGAAGTAAAGTCTCAGAATGTTCTCCTTTGTAGTTTTCTTCTGTATTTAAGGAGAAACTGATACCTGTGCTTGTTGTCCGCTGGTACACAGGCTTCCAGGAGACAGGAAAGAAACAAATAGCACATAACTGTTAACAGGACTATTTGGAGGAGACCCATTTTGTCTGATTTGGGGACTTATTTTGTTCAAAGGCATGTGTGCCTGTGGTTGTACTGCAGATGTAGAGCAGTCCCATTTCCTGACTCTGTCAGTGTCCTGGAGTGAAGCATCATCTGTCACTTGTGGAGTTCCATAAAGAGCTCAGAGGCTTCCAGGTTCTCTGCTCCTGAATAAGTTTGAAGACTCATTATTCCATAGACCCAAAGCCAAGACCTCTAGTCTGGTATTGAAAGACTCCCCAGTCCCAGGATCTGGCCTTCATCTGTAATTTGGCCTCATCTCCCACAAAATAAAAAGGTTTATAAATTGAAACCTTTTACTGGACTGACTTGCGTATTCCTTAATATCTGTTGGGCTCTTATGCATGCTTCAAAACCCAGCTTTACTTATCCCACCTTTAGGAAGCTTTCCAACACAGCTGGTCTTTCTACTGTCTGCCTCCTTTAAATTCTTGATGTAGCTGCTGCCTTTACTGATGTTTTATTTTGCTGATTCTGTTTTCCTGCGCACATGCCTCTTTTTCTAGCTAGACTGTAAGCTTCTCAAGGAAAAAGACTGCACCTTTTGTGCATGGCTGGTTCTGCTAAGGAGTAATTGCTTTGTCGTCTCCATAGTAGCTTTTGCAAATTGCTCTCTAAACTCAGTTGAATGTTGATGTTGGCACAGAGTTGGGTTCTGGTCCTGAACTGCCACTTCTAGCTGTGTAATTTTTGGCTGGTCCTCAGTTTGCCCATCTATATAAAGGGTAGATTGGATGACTCTTCCGAAGCCAGAGTTCTGGGAATTTCGTTTTTTCGGCTCCATTATAGCCCTTGCCTGTCTGTCTTTTATGCCTTTATATATGTGTAGAAAGGTTCTATAGCTCCACATGGCTGAGGTGTCCCAGACCTGATGCATTGGACAGCACTGGCCTAGCTAGCAGGAGACCTGGACTCTCATCGCAGATCTGCTGCTTCCTAGCAGCGTGACCTTGGCTAGATCACCTAACCTCCCCAAGTGTCAGTTTACTCCTTTATAAATGGATCTGGTGAACATGAAATGTGGCCGACTTGCCGTGTGGAAGGTGAGTCTGACTATTGCTTTCTCTGGGCCAGAGAGGAGCAATCATGAGTGGAGACCAGCCCTTGGAAATGGCTGTTTTAGGCATTTCTCTTTAGCCTACTCTTAGGGCAGCTTTGCTCAATGACAGTTATTCATGAAGGTGATCACCATCTTTGTTGCCTGCCACAGAGGAAATGTGGGCTGTGATGTGATCAGAAGCCCATAGTTACCACCCAAGCATAAAATCCTGGTAAGTATAATGACAGAATAAAAGTGTGTGGTAAATGACAAAAAGCAGTTTTCCCATTTTGGGGCTTAAAGGGCCCTACGTATTTCCTGCCTTCCCTCTCTTCTGTTTCTGATGGCCTCACCTGCCCGGGGGGGCATCCAGCTGTGCCCATGAGGTACCGCCTCGACCTCGGTCTTGCCGACCTCACAGGGTTGCTGTGAAGATCAGATTCCACAGCGAACATGCACCCCGGGTTTGAAGACCCTGTGTTCACGGCAGCCGTGGCGGGAGGGTGGGGCAGTGTCCGAGGTGGGCTCTTGGATTCTAGAGTCACATCGATTCCAGTCCCGGTACTGCCTCTTAGGAGCAGCGGCGGGTCTCCTAGGCCCCACTCTTAGGTCTCACTCCTCCTGCGTGGAGTGGGATAAGGCGACTACCCGGGAGGCTATTGTGAAGATGAAACGATGCGCCAAAGGGCAGGGGCTTGCAGCTTTGAGTTGCAAGCTTGCATAAGAGCTGATAAATTGTTGCTATTTTTCTCAAATCTCTCGCTCTGTCTTGCACAGGGCAGGTGCCCGATGTATATTTTTGTTGATGTAGTAGGTCATTAGCAGTTTATGTTTATTTTGTCTGCATCAGACCTCAGTTACTCCAGCACCGTGGGCTGTATTTATGTGAATTAAGATGCTAGTCAAATCTTTCCTAAGCTCAGTACCGGGAGACAGTAGAGCAGGGAGATTAAGAGTAAGCTGGTGACTTTGGGTCAGATGCTTACCCTCTCTGTTCCCCTTGTACCTCCCTTCCCTCTGTTAAGGGGTGTGCGATCGTAGGTGATGTGTGTGAAGCACAAGGCACAGTGAGGGCTCCATCGATGACGGCTCTTAAGCTGCCGCACGCTGCCTTCTGCGTGTCTGCTCGTGCGAGGTTTCACCTGGGTTGCGCGTGTCTGCGTCCTTCCTGATTTTCGTTGGTTGGTTCTGTCGGTGACCAAGCTAGGAAAATCTCCAACTGTGAGTGTCGATTTTGTTTCTCCTTTTACTGACAAGTTGTTTTTTTTTTAATTACATAGTTTAAAAAAACTGAGATGTAATTAACATACCATAAAAGTCACCATTTTAAAGTGTAAAATTCAGTAGTTAGTATATTCGTAAGATTGCACAGCCACCGACACTATTTAATTCTAGAATATTTTCATCACCTGCCCTCACCCCCCAAAATACCCTACCCATTAGCAGTCATTCCCCATTCGTCCCTCTCCCTAGCCCCTGACAACACTAATCTGTTTTCCATCTCTATAGAGTTCCCTATTCTGGACATTTCATATAAATGGAATTATACAGTAGGTAGCGGTCTGTATCTGGCTTTTTTCACGTAACATAATGTTTTCAAGATTTACCCATGTTGTAGCACATATTAGTACTCTCTTCCTTTTCAGTGGCTGAATAATATTCCATTTCACAGTTACACCACATTTGGTTTATCCATTCATCAGTTGAGTTGTTTCTACTTTTTGGCTATTATAAGTATTGCTGCTATGAATAATTGTATACAAGTTTTTGTGTGAACATATATTTTAATTTGCTTCTGACAAATTTTGCTCTGGTTTTACATGCATACAGATTTAGAATTGTTAAAGCTTCCTGATTGGTTCGCCCTATTACCCCTCTCTTTATATTAGATTGTTGCCTTAAAATTTACTTTGTCGGACACGTTAGCTTTCTTTCAAATAGTCATCACATAATATATCTTTGTCTACCCTTTTACTTTCAGCGTATCTATCCTTATATGTGAAGTGCCCCTCTTGTGGGTACATGAGATTTAAAAAAAATTCAGNTACTTTGTCGGACACGTTAGCTTTCTTTCAAATAGTCATCACATAATATATCTTTGTCTACCCTTTTACTTTCAGCATATCTATCCTTATATGTGAAGTGCCCCTCTTGTGGGTACATGGGATTTAAAANAAAAAAAATTCAGAAAATTCAGTCTGGAGTTATTTGCTACGCTGTGTCTAATGTATTTACTGATACATTAGATAGATTATATGCACCATTTTACTATTTACTTTCTATTAATTCTCTTTGTTCAATTCCCTTTTTTTTTGCCTGCTTTTGCATTAAGGTTCCCCCTTCCCCGCCCCCGGATTCAAGTCTCAGTTCTGCCATTTACTATTATTAACCTTAAGAGATTAAATGCTCTGNTTTTTTTTTTTTTGCCTGCTTTTGCGTTAAGGTTCCTGCCCCCGCCCCCGGATTCAAGTCTCAGCTCTGCCATTTACTATTATTAACCTTAAGAGATTAAACGCTCTCAGTTTCCTAATTTGTAAAACCAGGGTAGTAATGGTACTAACCTTGTTGGATTGTTAGGCTAAGTAAGTTGATACTATAAAGCACTTAAAAGAGTAAGCAGCATACCAGGCTTGATAGATTGCTGTTATTATCAGAATTACTCATACTCCTTCCTTCAGATTGCAGCCAGGATGGCCTTGCCTTTATAGATATCAATTTTAGTCTGCAATACTATAGCATAAGACATCATCTTTTAAAAATTCTTTCTGAGATGGGGGCGGGAACAGGGAGTGCTAATTTGATGAGTTGTCTTAACTCACCATGTTCATATTGCAGAAATCAGGAATCTGGCAATGTTATTTTGGTGCTTAAAATTCACTTGCGGCTCCCCAGTACCTTCATGATAGAGTGCACCTCCCTTCCCTGGGTATTGGGCTCTCACTGCTCTGCCCCCTCACCTCCCACCACACTCTGGCTCAGGTTTCACTTCAGTGATTCCAAAAAACATCGAAGTTCACTATTCTCATACCTCCCCCAAGCCGTGCCTCTGTTTCCCATCTTCGCTTATTTAGTTCCTTCCTTCTGGGGTACCATCCCCCCTCCTTTTTGCTTGGCCAATTCCCTTCCAACCTTCAGAAAACTCAAGCACCATCTCTTCCAGGAAGCCTTCCCTGAATCCCCAAGTTGGTTGCAAAATGCTTCTCATCTTTTTGCTCCCAAATTTGTTCTGTTGCGATGAAGTGATCTGCTTCTGTGCCTGGCTCCCTGGCTAAAGAGGGCCCTCGGGGTCTCCTGGGTGTCACTCGTGTTTGCATGGTCTCCTGCGTGTCACTCGTGTTTGCATGCTCTGTGTCCTAGCAGACAGCTCTGTGGATCTGCGCTGTGCGTTGCTCACGGATACCATGTGCAGTGCGTCACTCTGGGGCTGCTGCTTACAGAGTTTTTGCACAACCTGCCCCACCATTCACTATGGTCCTGAGCACTGAATGGAGTCACACAGTAGGTGAGCAGAATTGTGCCCACAAAGCTTAGACATGCATCCCAGCATCTACTTACAGGCACCCGTTACACTAACCGGCCTCTCCTAGACGCTTCCTTGTTAGGTTGGTTAGGAGGGGCTGAAATGTTTAGAATGATAAAACCACGGTTCTTTTTAAGATACTTGGTTCTAATTGCTCCAGATCCAAGGGAATCTCAGAAGTGGGCTGGGGGTGAGGAAAAGAGGGACACAGTTCTATGATGCAACCAAAGACTTTAATTGGAGGCAGCTCCTCCCCCAGTGGCCTTTTCAGGAGCTGAAGGGACTCTTGCTGGCGGCACAGGGATGGCTCAGACGTCTTCTCCTCCTTGGGGGAGTTTCCGAGTCGGTCTTCATGGCCCCTGTTCGCCTCCCTCTTCCCCCTGGAGTCACCGCAGCAGCCTGCAGCCTGGGGCTGCTTGCTGACTAGCAGAATGCTCAGGGTCTCCCGTGGTTATATGCCTTCGTCACCATGTTGCCGGACTGTTGTGCGTGTCTCTTTTGACTACTATTTTTGTGAGCACTTGGGTTGAGATCTGAAAGAGTGAAGGACAAGGCTTTGAATTACACACAAGCAGTCTTGGTGGCATCCCATTTGGCGCTCATTCATACCATGGCTTAATAAAGTTCTGCTTGCTCGAGCCAAGAATAACTCCAATCTGGGAAGCACTTGAGATCTTAGAGTTTACTGGTCGCGTCGGCCCAGCCTCGCTGGTCCTGACAGTGCACATACCCAGTTT